GCACCTGGTGGTGCTGTTTCAGCCGGGCACAGGCAGCAGGAGGTTTGCTGGGAGCTTAGCTATGAGAAAATGAGCTCAGGTGAGCTCGGGTGGTGCAGTTGGAGCTGCACAAGGGGTGTTTTCAGGCAATAAAGACTTGTTTTGTTTTAAAGGAGTGTTCTTGAAATAATGGGCTCCGGATGTGTTTTCAGAACTGAATTTCAGGCATTTTTTTAAACCCATGGAAGGATTTCTGCTTCTGTTGCTCCCATCTTCACGGAATCAAAGACTCACCCTCCTGATGGCACTTTGCTTAGCTGAGATGGGAAAGTGTTTCAGGGCTGGAAGTCCTCTGGCTGTGGGTGCAGCTGGAGAGCCTTTCCTGAGCAAAGACAAATCCCTCCTTAAAAGTTGCCATTAAAACTAATTCGGGGGCATTTTCGACACGTCGTTTTTCTTCAGCTCCCGCGGAAATGCGAGTTCTGCTTTCATTTTGCCTTTCCCAGAGTCGATGCCAAGCCATTGATTCAAAGAGAAGCAGCTCCAACATCTTAACTGCCAGCTGCAGGAATTCCCAAGTCTTGCTGCTGGTCCCACTTGCCCTGTTGTTGGATTTTTCTGTACCTTGAAGAGGCTGGTGCAGAGCTCGGGAAGAACGTAGGAACAAAGAGGAGCTGGGACTGCTACAAACCCACATGGAACAGGAAGGGATGGAAAATTACACGTGAACGCTGGGGAAGGAATGAAAAATTACACCTGGCTATCAGCTGTTGGTGTTTCTTGCTTTAAGCAGCGTGTGGAGGGGTGATGGCAGGGCTCATTTGTAGCAGGGCTGTGGTTTTAGCTGCTTTACAATGTAAACTGTCTGTTTGTAAATCTTGCATGAAGTCGTTTTTAAGGCAGGAAAAGCTGCTTTAATGAGGCTGTCTTGGAAGCAACACCTGCTGTGATCTAGTATGACCTGCTGCACGTTACAGGAGGTTGGATTTCACCCAGAATCCCATCCTTGGGTCCAATAGGGTTGAGTGGAGCTGCTGTCTTTTCATTTAAAGATCTCAACTGGTGGAGCATTGGTGCGTTTTGTAGCAACCAGCCAACCACTCACCTTCAAAGCAGCTTTGCCTTTGATTTGAGCCTACAAGAAAGATGGAAAGGGACTTTTTACAAGGGCATATAGTGGCAGGACAAGGGGGGATGGCTCCACAGTGTCAGCAGTAGGGTTAGATTGTATATTAAGACAAAACTCTCCCTGGTGAGGCCCTGGCACAGGTTGCCCAGAGAAGCTGTGGCTGCCCCATCCCTGGAAGTGTCCAAGGCCAGGTTGGATGGGGCTTGGAGCAACCTGGGCTAGTGGATCCCATGGCAGGGATTTGGAATGAGATGAGCTTTAAGGTCCCTTCCAACCCAGCTCATTCTATGATTCTATTTCTTGTGAATGTGGTGTGTCTTCATCTTGAGTTTGTCTCAGTCCCTGTCCCAGTAGCTCCCTGGGCTACAGCACGTGCAGATGTTTAAGTTACCTTTGGTTCTTTCCTGTGTTTTCCAGGCTGGGTTGTTTCTTATGATCCCTTGAATCCTTTCCCACAGCCCAGCTTCTCGCTGGAGGATCTCACGGGCCCCCGTAGGTGGGAGCAACTTTTTGTTGACATTTATAGCCAGGAAAAATAAACTCTCCAGTGACAAAGAGCAGATTTAGTTGTTTTACTCCTCTGTGGGGCTGTGGCAGAGGAGGATCTCAGGGAGATGAGCATCATCTGGAGCAAACCCCCTTGGACCCGCTCTCCTCAATCAGGGTATTTGCAGAGCACTGTCGTGCCCGTAAGAATCTGGCTGGAATTGCACGGGCAGGATGAGTGTCTTTACAATCCAGTGGCTTGTGTAGCCATGTTGTGTGTCTGTAATAGTCTGGTCTGGTCATTCTGGTACACCTGGGTCATCCACTGCTCGTTCCATGGGTGCAGAATGATTCCCTGAGGAAGCTGGGAGCGAGTTGGTGGATTTATCTTGTTGAGACAGAAACAGTTGATGGTCAGGAAATTGTTGCAGAAGGACAAATTTGCTAAGCTTGAGCATTAAGTCTCAATTTTGAGATTCTTGAACATTAAATCCTAGATTGGGCACACACAGTTTTTTCCTGTCATGCTCTTTGACTATGGAGGACTTGGGAAGGTGTTAAAAATCCTCCTGATTTTTGCACACAGCTTCCAGCACTGGCATAGCAGCAGAACCTCCCTCCTGCTGAGTGTATAATTTGGGGCCAAGCAGATGATGCTTTCTGGACTGCTGTGGTCTCACCTGTTACCAACCCTTGACCACTGGTCCTGGTGAACACTGGGGTTCAAGCCCTCTTTGGTATTTCACTTCCAGCTCTTCCTGTGGATTTAGGGATTGCTCTCCCCTGGTAACAGCACAGCTGGAGTGGCATGGACCTTCCTCTAGAGACCCTGAGCCCCAGGATGGGCACAACACACTGCTAGGACCGTGTGGGATGGCAAAGGTTTTAGCCTTCTGAACTACACAAGGTGTCTCCCCCATGGTGCTGCCCATGTTGATGCTTTCAGCCACTTGACTGAAGCTTGTTTTGGAGAGGAGCATTTTCCCTCTCACCTGTGGAATGGTTTGTGCTGCTCTTCCTCTTCTGGACAGGCTTGTGGCCTCGCTCCATTCATTTGAGAGCAAGGACCAGCAAGGATTTGAGTCTGTGGTCTCTCGTGACTTGCACAAATGTGACCTCTTAAGTACATCTCAGACCTCTTTTGATCCAGGCTGCTGCAGTTTTGGGTTTTCCATAAAAGTCTGGTTTTGTGGGTGGTGTGAAGATGCTTGTCCTGATCACAGTGGATGCACGAAACTTCAGGTTTGATTTTAGGAATGAGCTTGTTTCCAAAGGCAAGATAACTTACTCAGATGTGGCCTTCATCACTCCAAAGTAAGTGTTTGAACAGGTTCTGCCAGGAGCAGGCTGAACCTTACCCCAGGCATCTCATCCATTTAGGCTGGATGTCAGGAAAAGGTTCTTTCCCATCACTTTTCTTTTTCTGTCCGAGAGCCAAATCCTTCAGGAAGTCCCTGTGTGTTCAGGTATGTGGGGATACAGCTGAGGCCTCGCTCTGTGGTGCAGAGCATGGTCCACTGTGACAGCTGGTGTGACCCCAGTGCTGTGCTGGGGCAGATGTGCAGCCAGCTGTGGGGCTGGAGCCTTTGCAGACAAGGCTGCAGCAGCTCCTGTGGCCCACGCTGAGCTCTCAGGGGGCTGTGTGTGTGTGCAGGGCTCTTGTGTTCTGCAGAGGAGCATTCCAGCTTGGTTCCTCGTGCTGGAGACGTGTCGAGGCTGTCCAGCTGCATTTTGCAGTGCTGTGTGATTTCAGAGTTTGGGGTGCTGCTGTTCTGTTTGTATTTTGGATAAACCACACAAACAGGGCTTCTTGTGGTGATACCCAGTGTGTGCCTTGTGTTCTCCTGCCTTGCACACAGCTTTTAATCTAAAAGCTCTTGAGCTGGAGCTATCAAACTGCTGTCACCAGTTCTGTTTCCCTCTGCTCCTGGGAACTCAGGAATGGAGACTTCAAGACCTTTCACTGTCCCCTACAACCACTCCAGGCTTCAAAAGCCATTTCTTTTGTCCCAGCATAGTTTCATCTCATGTTGACTGTGAGTATCCTGGCACGATGAGGGAGGGAGCTGTTTGATACTGCTGTTCTTATTTTGGGATATAGAGCTGAGAGCTCCTCTCTCCCATTAAGTAAAAGAGCATCTTTGGAGCTGAGTGTTTTGCTGAGCAGTGCTCAGGGCCATAGGGACCCCTTTAGGCTGCTGTAATTCAACTTAAAGAGATGATTGTGGACACAGCCACAGGCCACCAAAATGCTCTGCAGAGCCTGTGGTGTCTCCCTGAGTAATAACATAAGCTCAGGGATCTGGAGTTCCTTGTGTTAGACCACCTCAGGTTATGTATAAAAAGCTCGCTGTGGTGTGGTTCTCCCTCATTTTTTGCTGGAGGGAGGACTGTGATATCAGCCTTCCTAAAGTCACTCCCTAAGGCTTCTCTGATCCTCATCCTGCAGTTCCTGCAGAGGTCCAGGTTCTCCGGTGGCTTCACTCGTAGAGATGAGGACTCATGAGTTAGAAATGGTGAGAAAATCCACGTTGAGCTTTGTGACTGTCTCCTCCTTTGGTTTTCCTAATTATAAATTAAGTGGGGATAATCTGTCTTCGTGTTGCAGGCAGTGTTGCAGAACAATAAGCAAAAGCCTCGATCTCTTCCAGTCTGGGCAGTCACTGGGCAGTGATCAGGTCTGTTTTCAGTTACTTGTCCTACATTTCCTGGTTTCTTGTGTTTCTGTATCAATATGTGTATGTGCACTTTAGGAACCACGGAGCAGGAGTTGAGCTGGACACCGGGAGGAGTAGAGGAGGTGCGTAAGAAAAACCAGATCCTAGATCTTGGAGATCAGAATAACCCGGTGGGAGAAAGGTTAAGGGCTAAAAACTCTCCAGGTTTCCTGAAATCTGAGCAATTATTTAGGTCTTACCAGAGTCTCTGAAGAAGAGAAGGCTGTGGGGCTTATGTGAAACGAGGCTGACCTGTGGCACTGGGAGGGAACATCATAAAAACTAGTATGGACTGCCCTTTGGAGACACTGGGAAGAATCTCCAAGAAGAAAGAGTTAGCAGGAATCTCGATTCTCCAGCAGACAAGACCAAGGAGCCACCAGCTGCTTGGCCACAGGCCCTTTGGTGCTTTGGAAAGCCCCAAATTTGAGATTATCTCCCTCAAATTTTTGGTTATCTCCTGGCAGAAGCAGAGGTAACACACCCAGGTGAGCATCTGGGCAGTATCCCCAAAAGTACTCTTGACCTGCAGGAGTAATGAGCAGTGACACTACTGCTCACTTAATTTTGTCCCCCTTTCTGCTTTGCTCCCTTTAGTTATTCCACTAACCTTCATTGACTTGCTGCTAAATTATTTTCATAGTAAAATAAGCCAGTTTGCAGCCTGACTGAAATAATTAATTACTACTGGGCTACAACCCAGTGTGAGATCCTCCATAGCCCCATCAGTGTTGGAAGCAGAGGCTGAAAATAGAGTGTGAAAATAGAGTGGCTGTGGGTGTTGAGCGATCCCAGAGGGCTTGGCCAGGAGTAGGGGTGTTTAGGAGACAGTTTGTGTCGCTTAAAGGCTGCTAATAAATTCAGCTAGAGGCTCTAAATCTGTGTTTAACTCTGGTGGATAAGCCAGGGCAGACGTAAGAACTGGGATTTGGGAAATATATTTTTAAGAAGATCTGATTTGGGGTGGATTTTAGAAAGAGTCTGTGAGTGAAACAAGAGTTTGCTCTTATCACTTGGGCACTTTGAGATATCACTTGGTGAGATTTGAGCTGAAAGGAGAGAAATTGGAGTGAGGAAACTGAATTTTAGCAAGCAAATGTACAGCCTGAGGGAACCACTTTACACCTAGTGGGTGCTGAGAGGTTTCAAGGCCAGGTTTTGGTTCCAGGTTGCTGTAGCCAGTTGTTTTCCCCCCAGCTCACAGACAGAAGCTTAAAATGTGCTGGTGTCCATCCAAAGAGGATCTGTCTGTTTATCCTGAGGTAGCAAAGGCAAAAGTGGGAAGGGTTCCACCTCAAACCGCTGTAAACCACTGGTGCCTGTTGCTGCCTGTGTGTTTATATGGGTTGTTTTTTTATTTTGTGTTAATTTTGTGTGTTTTTGTTTAAAACAGCAGGGTAATTCTGACTTGCTGCTTAGCAGTTTTGCTTCTGCTCCCAGGGCTCTGAATCTCAGGAGGAAACTGGTTAGAAATGTATCCCTTTCCTGCTGATGCTGTTAAACCAGCATATGAGGAGCATTAGGTAGGTTCCAGCTTTCTGGAGTCATAAAAGTTCCTTTTTGGGGAATAAAACTAGTGTTTTTTGTAATGATGTGTCTGTTACAGTCCTTCTCCAGAAAGCAACAGTACTAGCTCTTCCCAAATTGTTGCCTCTCTTGAATTCCAGAGGCAACTTTGCCATTCAGGTTAGAACCCCAACAATCTAATACATTTAATTTTAAAAAAATTAATGTTTTCTAGCACTTTACCGATCCAAAAGCCATCAAGTTCCAGCAAACCTGGGGCCTTTCAAAAGTAGAGCAGTATTAGGATTAAAACCACATCGAGACCTGCGTATTAAACTTTAGTTTTTTTACCCCCAAATAGTTGTATGTTGCTCTGGATTAGGGGGAAAAGGTGGATGGAACTTGTGGAGCAGCTCAGCCGTTGGTGTGGGATGTCAAAGGGATCACCAAAGGCAGATGAGCCCTTTGCATCTGTGTGGGAGGTTTGGCCCCAGCACTGTTTGAGAGGCTGCTCAGACCAAGCCACCTCAGTGCTGTTTCTTACTTAATGCTTGATATGGAAGTCTGGGAATTGGGAGCATTATTGATTTGACCTCTTTTAAATTTCAGCAGCTTCACAAGAGACAGAGTGAGTTAGTAAGGAATGCAAAAATGTGTAAGTAATATATATTTTTCTAGCTGAAAAGCTTAGGCATATCCATTTTGTACCTTGTGTCTTCTTACAAGAGTAAGGAAGGTTGGACTGTCTTTGCTTTGGGGGAAATCTTTCTCTTTCCTTTCTCTCTCCTCCCTGCTTCCCCCTCTCCAAGCTGTGGGCACAACACCAGCTCTGCTTTCTCCTCCTTGTAGTAGGTGTGCATTTTCCTGGCTGGTTGGTGTCTCTGACTGGGGGGCTCTTGGTATTTTGATTTATTTTATTTTTTTCCCTGCGCCCATAGCACATCTGGGGATTTTATTTTTTTTTTTTAATAAGTGGGAAGGAGAATAAATCAGCCAAGTTAAACCCAAGGAACCTGTAGCTGCCACACAACTTGTCCTCTGTTGTAGTAACGTTAATGCCAAGTGGGAACGTCGGGTACATAACGATGCTTCCTGGTGGGTGTAGATTAATTTGGGAGCGTTGCTCGTGAGCGTGGGGCAAATATGACCAGTAGAAATAACCCCCAAGCCCCTAAACTCTGCCTGGCAGCCCTGTGACTGTCTGCAGGTGCCTGTGTGGTCGTCCAGCCCAGCACCCCGTGGCTCAACCTGCTTTTCTCTGTCTCAGACCCTCCGCAGGTGCTACAGCCGCGTGAAGGAGCACGGCGTGGGGAAGAGGAAAAGCAGCTACACGTTCGAGCAGCTGGAGCAGGTGTTTGGGCAGGGAGGATGGGACTCCCAGCCCTGCCAGCCCGTCCTCATCAACAGCAGCGGCTTGTACCAGGAGCTGGAGTCGGATGGCAGCACGATGGAGGAGTATTCCCAGGAGGACTGGGGAAACCACAGTCAGGACCTTCACTGCTACCAGACCGGCGAGCAGGAATTGGGTAAGAAACCCCAGCCTGGCACATCTCCAGCCTTGGATTTTACCTGTGCTCGTGCCTGTCTCACACAAACGTGTCTCAGTACCAGCTTTCATCTCTTGGGTGTGATGTCCTCAGGGTGCCAAACACATCCCTGGGGAGAAAAGGGGCAGAAATCCCCCGGTCAGTCAAAAGCAACACGTGGTTCTTGAAGCATTTTAGGGTCAGGACTGGAGTTCAAAGAGCCTGGCAGGAGGAAAGAAGGGCTGTGTGACCAGAAATGATGGAGGAGGTGACACCTTCCCTGTCTCTCCTTCTGCTCTCAGTTTTACTTCCCTTCAAGGGAAGTAAAATTCCCTTTCAGTGGTACCTGAGTGTTATCACTCAAACACCATCTGCTTAAATTGTGAATAGGGCTTCAACCTGCTGCTGGTGACACCAACAACTATAAAAAAGTGTTGTTCCTTCCTCTATACCCTGATATATTGAAATTAAACATGTTTATATCCAGGCATGTGGCCTTTCTTAAATACAAAAATAGCAAGCAAGCTCACACTTGAGGATTGAGACCTAAACCAAACTCTTCCACATGCTTTTCTTGCCTGAATTATTGCTGTCTCTGCATAAGAATCAGTCTATTACTTAATTTGGAGGTTTAGTTTTTGCTTGTGGGTTACTGAACTTTGTTAAACAGAGCGAGGTACCACATTCCTGATGGAAAATGCACACCAGTCTGAGCAGTTCTGGGAAGAAGTGGCTTTCTTTAGGCTTATTTTTCCCTCTTGAGCCACTGCTCTTATGTGTGTGTGTTCCTCCCTTGCCTGAGCACAGGAAACTTTAAGTTGATCAAATTCAATGGAGTTGCAAGTGAAGAAGGTGAATTAGATAAAGGCTTTTTTCCCCCCCATTTGTAGGATGAAAGAGGGAGAGGAGATGCAGTCGGGTATGTGTTCACATCTGTGTTTAAGGGACTGGTGAGTCAGGATGCTTTGGAAGAGCCTTAAATCACAGTTTAACATTAAAATTTCCAAGTTGGCTGTCGAGTGCATTCCGGTGCCTCAGGCTTCTTCCCTGGGGGATTTAAAAATCAGAAATATGTGGGAGAGAAACGGTGGGGAGAAGAAGACGTTACAAAACGTATGCAAATGACGGCTAATCCTGCCTGGTTTGGCTTGTTTTGGTGAGTCAAAGCGGGATCTCCTGGTTCGTCACCGCTCTCGGGGCCGTGTGCGTGCGCCGGGGCTGACGATGTCCTTCGTGCTCAGAAGCTGTGAGCAAAGCACTTGGCACGCAGCATCTGAGTGCAGCACAGATGCAGTTCTGCTGCTGCCTGTCTTCAGCTGTGCCATTGGAAGCAAAATTGCCTTTTTTATTTCTTTTTCCTATTTTTTTTCCCTATTTCTTTAAACAATGCAGTTTGCGATTCAGTCCATTTGTGATTTAACAGCAGGGGTTGGAGCCTTGTCCTTGAAAGGTTTTGCACTTGCAGGGAGAGATTCAGATCTTAACTGACAGCATCCCTTCCAAGTTAAAGAAAAACCAAATCAATTACAGAGGGTTTAGGAACTGGAACTGTCTCGTGCAGAACTCCAGCAGACTGCCTGGCTTAGGAAGCAACTTTAATTTGTTTTTTATTTAATTTCAGCCTCTGGGAAAAAAAAAAAAAAGCCCTAAGTGCATTATTTAAAATATAATTATGTGTTGGAATTTTACCTTTCAGATGAAATGCCTACCACAAAAAGAACACTAAAGATAAAACAGGAGTCTTCAGAAGACGCGCAGTAAGTAGTTTATGAATGTTTTACCCTGGAATGTGTTTCCCTGGGGACGTTGTGCAGGAGGGGAGGATATTTGAAACTTCTGATTATAATTATAAATACATTGTGCAAGACTATTCATACAGTTGAATCTGCTTTATGCATTATTCCTGTTACCTCAGAACAGCTGAAGAGCTTCGCAGCTCTGTTTCTCCTTGGCTTTGCCGTTCAGCACACGAAACGAGGCTTACTACATGGATGCAAGGACTTAAACCACGGATAAAATCCACAAGAAAAGCTCCCTTCCTTGGTGGGAAGGCACGCCAAAGCTTGGGAGCCTTTTATTTTCATTTTTATAACTTTCCAGACCTTATTTGTAGCCTTTTGGCTGGGTTTACTGTAACAAACGCTGGAGCGTTCTGGGCGCTTTGAGCACGCGGATCTCCCTCGCCAACAATAACACGGAGCATTCCCAAAAATGAAAGGAATTGTGCTGGATTTTCTCCATCCAGTGCTGCTTTCTGCCAACCTTTAGGATTGTAAAACCCACGGGGAGGCTGTGGATCCATCTGTGGGGGTAGTGAGCCACAGCAGCCGGGCTCACAGAGCCTTCAGGGCGTGTTCCACACGTGAGCTCCCCCGCCAAGATGACTTGTAGTCATCTGGAGTCAGTCGGGGGTTTTCCATGGTGGAAAACGAGCTCCTGTAGCGTAGGAGGTCACCAGCACTGGGAACAGCAGCTGAGCGTCCCTGGTGAGTCACACAACACAGGCTTTGTGCTGTAACTCAACGGAAAAAAAGTCCTCCAAAACCTGCAAAAAAACCCCCAACCTTAAAATACGAATAAAAATAAAACAATTTAAAAAGAAAATAATAAAAATAATTAACGAGAAGCTTTCATTGTAGTGCTGTAGCTTCATCAAACTTCTCTCTTCAGGTGGATTTTCACGTGCCCAAAGGTGACTTTTTTCTTCACGTGGAGCAAATTCAGTTTAGCAACTCCAGGACAACCTGGAGAAGAATAACGTTTTTCAGCATAAATGTTGTTATTGAACAGTTTCTTGGTGCTGCTCTGGAGTAATTTTGCCTTTAGGAAACTGCATAGCATAGCAAAATAATCCTGAATTTTCTGAGGTGAAGGCTTGGACTACCTGAAACTTCTCTTCGAAGTTTTGTACGTGGACAGCTGGATTAGATTTTGGTAAATTAGACCTTTCAGAGTTTTATGGTCATTTTTCCCCCTTAAATTCCCCCTAAAATGCACTGGAGTCTCTGAACTCTGGGACATTTTGTGGAGTGTGACAGTCCTACGTGCTCAGTGGAAGCTCAAAGCATCTTCCAACCCACAGATTTGCTGAAAGCTGATTTTCCTCTTGTCTCTGAGGGGAAGGAACTTCTAGACTCTGACTTCGTAGGTTAAAAGCAGTCAGGAGTAGTAGGGCTGATACAAAGATAAGATGAATACTTATTTGTTATCTTCAAAAAATAGATTTGCATCTAAAAGCCACAGAAAATAAATAGTTGCCTAACTTTTTACCTCTTTGTGGTACATTTTAAAATGTAGATAACTTAATTCAAAGTCAGGGCATTTTGGTTCATCTGCAGTCTTGGTCAAGTGCAGATTTTCAGCAGAAATAACCTCCATAAAATTGTTCAAATTATCTGATGAACCTTGTGCTGTGCTTTTGGACATGGGGAATCAGAATCCCAGAATGATTTGGGTTGGAAGGGACCTTAAAGTTCATCCAGTTCCACCCCCCTGCCATGGGCAGGGACACCTTCCACTAGCCCAGATTGCTCCAAGCCCTGTCCAACGTGGCCTTGGACACTTCCAGGGATGGGGCAGCCACAGCTTCTCTGGGCAACCTGTGCCAGGGCCTCCCCACCCTCACCAGGGAGAATTTCTTCCCAATGTCGCATTTACCCCTGCCCTCTGGCAATGGGAGGCCATTCCCTGTGTCCTGTCCCTCCAGGCCCTTGTCCCAAGTCCCTCTCCAGCTCTCCCAGAGCCCCTTCAGGCACTAGAAGGGGCTCTCAGGTCTCCCAGCAACCTTCTCTGGGTGAACACTCCCAGCCTGGAGAAGAGAAGACTCTGGGGAGACCTTGGAGCCCCTTCCAGTGCCTGAAGGGGCTCCAAGAGAGCTGGAGAGGGACTTGGGACAAGGGATGGAGGGACAGGACAAGGGGGAATGGGCAGGGTTGGATGGGATATTGGGAAGGAATTGTTCTCTGGGAGGATGGGGAGGCCCTGGCACAGGTTGCCCAGAGAAACTGTGGCTGCCCCTGGATCCCTGGAAGTGTTCAAGGCCAGGTTGGATGGGGCTTGGAGCAACCTGGGATAGTGGAAGGTGTCCTTGCCCATGACAGGGATTTGGAATGAGATGATCTTTAAGGTCCTTTCCAGCCCAAATTGTTCTATGAGTCTGTGACATACGAGGACTTCCCATCTTTTCCAGTGTCACCTTATTTTGGGCGGTGTAGGAAGCCAAGGGGAATAGGTAACCCATGTCCACATCCCATGCTCCATCAAGATACTCCTTCCCTGCAGTAGCTCTGCTGTTGCCTCCCCTTGGCACGCTGCTGCCTCCAGATAAACTGTTTTGAAAAGTGAAATGCTGCTTCAAGACCGTTCCACTGTTTTGAGTTGATTTGAGGAGCAGTTTGATTCACTGCGGGCGTTGGGAGGATGAAAAGCTCGTGGAACTCCACTGAAAGCAGCTGTTCTGACCCCTTTGAAGTCTGCTTGGTTTGGGAACAGCGCCTTGGAACGAACTTGCCCCGGCTCTTGTCTCCAGTCTTTTCCTCATTTGAATTGCAGAAGCTTCCAAGGAGGAAGAAACACAGATCCCAGACTCCAGCAGGCAGGTGGTGGTTTGAGGACAGGGGAAAATCCAGCTCTAGGGCACCTTCTGCAGCTGACAAGTGAGATTGCCCTGAGATACACGACAGGGCAAACACTCTGCTCTCCTCCCGTTTTTATCATGAAAAGTGAATAATATTAGCGATACAAATAAAACAAATACATAAATGCATATTAAATAAATAATTTAAAATAGTTCAACAATTGACAATTAAAATTTAATAATAAATAAATAAATAAATAAATAAATAAATAAGTCTTACTGCTTATGATACCTCTGCTTGACGTGGAGGTCCCGGATAGAGCCTGGAATGTGAAGCTCAGCTGAGCCATCGGGTCCCAGCATAAGGGAGGAGATGTTATAACTGAAAGGCAAAACTCCTTAAGATTCCTCTTTCCCTGGTTTCCTCTATGCTGGAAGCGGTGAGTTCCCTGTGGAAAGCCTTTCTCTGCTGCCTGAGATCCCCTCTCATGGAAAGGCTCCTGTTCCCCACAGGAGCAGTCGGAGTGACTAATGCACCGGAGCTCCAGCTCCGGATTGTGCCGAGCTAAACTGAATATTTATAGTGCAATTAATAAAGGTGGGGGCTTTGCTTTCGGTTCCTCGCTCTGTTCCTCCGCTGTTGAATGAAAACCTGCCCACGCCGCGCTCTCCTGGCTCTGCCTGGGATGGGAATCCGTGTGCAGCTGGAGCTCAGCTGCCATCGGGAGTCGAGCGCGCGCGTGCCGGCGCTGAGACACCGCGCTGGGCTCCGGCACTGCCCTGTCCCCTCGTCTGTCCCCTCCCCTTGTGCCCAGAAGGTGAACCTGCACCTCCAAAAGACATTTTTCAAGGGTGGCAGAGCAGCAGGGAAGCCTCGACTCAGTGTTGCCGCAGTGCCTGTGTGTAAATGGAAGTGGATTTGGGGTGAACACGTGTTCTCCTTGCCCGGGATTTCTCTCCGTTGTTGCCAGGCAGTGGAACTGATTCCTCAGGAATAACTTGCAGTAAGAAACAGGATTTTGGTGGCAATGGAACAGGCATTTTTGAGAACCTCTGGCCCAAACACAGCTCTGCTTGCCCAGCCTGTCCCTCCTCTGTTCTCTAGAAACTCAGTTATGCGCCAGCCATGGCAGAGATGTGCTTCCCAAAATGTCTTTTAAGGTCTATCCAGGAATCTTCTGGCGTGGTTGGTGCTGCAAATTCTTGAGGAACTCCCAGGGCACAGGGAAGTTTCTGCCCCACAGAAGAAAAGCACTGTTGCTTGGTACAGTTTGTATTCCTGGTGGGGTTTGGGAGGAGCAAATTCCCTCTTGGGAATGTGGTGACCCCCCAGTTCTGGTTTCCAGACGTGGCACAATGGATAAAAGGAAGGAGACTTGCATGGACATTCTGTTTGTTGGACCAAGAGAGGCTTCTCTGATAGCAAACAAGTTGCATTATCTTCCTACACCTTTGGTCACAGGACAATAACTCCTCAGATTAGGAGTTCTCCCTGCCAGCTAATTACACCCTGATGGTCTCATTCATCCCAGAGGAAGCTGCTCCAGCTCACCACAGGTGCACGTGGATGCTCTCTGCCAATGTCAGCCACTCCATGGAACCTCACTACTGGGAGTGCAAATAGCTCTTTGGGAGCATGGGGATTTTTTAATTGCCTATCCAGAGGAATTCCCACTGTTGATCCCACAGGATCGAGAATGTGTCTGGGTGTATCTTCTACTCCAGGGTGTTGGTCACTTGAGCCATGTTTCCATCCCAGCACTGTGACCGAGCCCTTTGGAGCAGCTTGATGCTTCCATGGGGGTTTTTACAATTAATGGTCCTGTTTGCTGGCATTACTCTTGGAATAACAATGAGGTGGAAGTCTTTGGAGTGGCAGTTGTGAATTGGGGATGCAGCACATGGACCACGTGGCAATGGAAAGAATGACCCAGTAATTAGGTGTGGTTTTATTCAGCAATGCCAGACACGTGTTTCCTTGGAGCTGCCTTGATGTTGGGAGGAGTTTGGGTTGGGCTTGTTTTGATTTTGCCAAGATTAATTAAAAAAATTCCCAAAACCCATCAGGGGGTTATTTTAGTCCATAAGCTCCCCCAGCAATATTTATAGTAATCATAAAAATCAGCTGAGAAAGCCGATTGAGATTAATGTTTTCCAAAGATCGGTGTTTTTGCCGGGATGGTTTTCCAGCTCTGACGCCTTTATCCTTCTCTCCCTCTTCCTTAATCTCCAGGAAGCGTGACGTCATGCAGAACATTATGCAAATCTTGGAGTCGGTCCAGTTGAAGTGGGAGCTGTTTCAGAGCTGGACGGACTTCTCCAGGCTCCATCTTTCTAACAAACTGGCCATTTTTGGCATCGGGTACAACACCCGCTGGAAGGAGGATATCCGTTACCACTACGCAGAGATCAGCTCCCAGGTGCCCCTCGGCAAGCGGCTCCGGGAATACTTCAACTCGGAGAAACCCGAGGGTCGGGTGATCATGACCCGAGTGCAGAAAATGAACTGGAAAAACGTTTACTACAAATTCCTGGAGATCACCATCAGCGAAGCCCGATGCTTGGAGCTGCACATGGAGATCGACTGGATCCCCATCGCTCACTCCAAACCCACCGGGGGGAACGTGGTGCAGTATTTATTGCCGGGAGGGATCCCCAAAAGCCCTGGCCTGTACGCCATCGGATATGAGGAGTGCCACGAGAAGCCCCCCTCCCCTCTGGCCGAGCACCGGGCGCCTGACCCCAGCAATGAGACTCCAGGGGAGCTGGAGGTCCCCTCTCCGCAGGCCTCCCTCCGGGTGGATATGGAATCCGCCCGGATTATCTACTGTTACCTTGGCATCGCTGAGGTCCGGACTCTCCAGCAGTGCCTGTTTTTACACTTCCAGGCAAACACCAAAACCTTCAGCAAAGATTGGGTCGGGATCAACGCCTTTTTATCTCAGAACTGCGTCGTAGAGCCCGGCGTCTCGCCCAAATCCATCTACATCAAATTTGTGGAAGTGGAGAGGGATTTTCTGTCCGCCGGCTCTTTGGTAGAGTGCCTGGAAAAAGCCATCGGGTACCCCTTAAAATTTAACAACTGAGTCTCGTCCTTCATAAGGATCAGGGCTTTTCCGCCCCATTTTCCATCTCACTCGGATCCTGTCCGTTCACAGCCGGGCGCCTCGGACTTCCCCGCGCGTTGGGGTGCGCGGAGGCTCGCGC